AAAATGTCACATGCTATTTCTTCAAAATAGCATGTGGAAAACAATTCACACATTGGAAAGCTTGGAAATCAACTTCTGAATGAGATATTAACAAATAATTTGAACACAGATTAAACGGAAGTTAGATCATGCAAATGATGCATTTGTATTTTTGCCATTCAACCAATGTAAATTGTTAACACCTATATTGGCAGCGTAGGTCCGCAATCACAAATCTCGTTTGCGGTGTCTGAAAATCTCCGCCTCATATGGTATTTGTTTAAAGGGGAACAAATTGACATCCTTCCTTGAAATTTTTGCAGAATTTTCTTCGCACAGAGAGAGAAAATCACAGCAATTTAAAAGAACTGCCGTTGAGTAGTTTTCGTTTAAAAAATAAAGTAGGTACGACAGGAAGTCTGCAATGTTGCAAACCGAGATATGTGATTGCTGACTTACACTGTTGATATCTTGTACAGGAGTTGACTTTCGGACTTCCCGTTGTGGGGTACACTTCCTTGTGAAATTTTAAAGAGGAAATGTACTACGTGGTATCTTGTCTAACGGCCCACTAGCATTGCATTTACCTGATGAGTAATAATGCGTAATTAGGGCCCGTCACTTTTGATTTTCATCTTAACATACCATGGCTTTGCTGTAGTGACACTGGCATTTGGTGCTGAGATTTTGAGGTCAGAAAAAATTTGATACCTAGTAAGTACAGCAATTGAAGTTCATGCAAAGTATGGAAATGCTCAGGTTTCAGAAAGTTGGTGGTGAAACGATAGCTGAGCAATAATGAGGAGATTAGGTAGATGAGGGCTACTTCAGTCATTAAAACAGGGATAAGCAGTACAGAAAACATAGGTTCACAGGGTCCTTCTTTATATTAGGAAAGGCAGGTGTGATTACAGCTCGGTCATTGGGTGTTGAGACAAAAATCTAGTTTTGTTCAAGTTACTTATCACCAATGGTACTGTCAGTTAGCATGTATTAAGCTGTTGATCAGTGCTGATTCAGAGCTGATCAGAGCATGACATTGATTTCGGTATACAATGAGCGAGCTCTCGGACAGCCAAAACTTGTTTTTTCACGGAATGTACTCAAGCAAAATTTAGCTGTCTGTTCATGCTTGATGCCAGCTTCCGGAGGATCTCTACCATGATAGATTCCTGTGGAGAGTAGGCGTCGCAGAGCGCCCTAGTGCGCCGTAAAAGCGGCTCATACATACATGTACACAAGCAATTTTACGCCAAGAAAATCGAAACCAAAATCCAAAATTTTGAAGATAAGTCTTGCTATGGCACAGAACTTGCGATGGTGAAGCAGAATTTTTGGTTATCTAGTTTATGCTTGGTATCGGCTTACACAGTTCACATGGCAATACCGGTCCATGTTCAATTGGCAGGAAATTTTCGCCCTTTGAATGATACATCATAAGACAAATCGTTAGATGGAACAAACAGGACTTCGTCTTATCTTATCATGCTGACACAGTTTCAACAATCAGCCTGCTGAATACAGAATAAGTAGGTACTTAATTCAAGTTCTCCATTTGGAGAACTAAGTTCTAACTTTGAGCTTTTATAGCAGGGCTGATTATAAGCTAGAGAAGATCAATAAGTACCAGTGACTTTAAGGCACATACCTGATAGCAGCGGACAGGAGAACGGGCAATTCAAACAAAACTGAGGTGAATTATCCTTTTATTCATACAGCTAATAGACTCAAACCATAAGAAGAGCACACAGTGTTTATTGTCACTTCACTTTTACCTACTATCAGAGTCCACAAAGAAAAATTTCACGATTCTTTAAGTACACGACACTGATAAGTAGACCACGAGAACCTTTCAGCAAGACTCTGGGTAAGTAACTAACTGATTCTGGTTTTTGAGTGTGAGACCTGTCAGATTTCTTTCCTGATGAATTTTTAATCAGTGAATACGTACTCACTACAGTCAATGAATTGAGTGAAAATGAAATTTAGTCCGATTTATGACGAGGGGAGGGGGGAGAAAAACAACAACAATGGCAAGGTCACAAATAGTTTAGAAGGGAGGGGGGGAAGAGGGAAGTGTTACCAACACGGCCTCTATCGCAAAGATGAGAAACTATATTCGGCGGGAATTTTAAATGTGCGCGCGGGTGTACAGTGGTGCGTGTTCTCGAGATAGGTGGCAAAGAATCACCTAACGATAAAATAAATAAGGAGGTACCAAAATAAAATCAGAACTAGATGTCAACATATGCCACTGAGCTATTTAAAGGGTGAAAATCCAAAAATTGAATTTTATATGGCTATAAGTTTATGTAACGCGGGTTAAGTGTAGATTTTACATTACACCTACTTGAACTAACTTTGTCTGAAATTTAGGTGTTTTTTTTTTGTTTGTTTGTAATGACGATTGTCCTATTTTATCCTATTTTCTGTTCCTTTAAATCACTGAAATAAACTTATTTCAATCATTCACTTACTTTCTTGATGATGTTTACTTGCAGAATAAAAGCTTTCTAAATGATCATTTGAACTTGTAGAAAGGGGGCAGTTCTGTTGGTGAGAAAGGGACCTTTGTATTCTTTGAATGTAAGTCCAAATTTCAAAATTCTGCAAAAAAAAATAAAAAATAGTTTTTTGAACTGAGAGGTCTACTTCAGAAAATGTTCATGCAATGCGACACTTCCATCGAGGATCGGGGTACACTGACTTTCAGTTCGTTAAATAAAGTAAATTTCATTTAAAAAGAAACACTGACTAAAAATACATTAAAGGGAGGAGAATCATTCTAACAGCCCCCCCCCCCTTCCTCCAACACATACACTTAAATCTTGTAGTCCATCCTTAAAATAGAGATTTTATCCACATAAAAATATTTAAAAAAAATTAACGGTTTTTTTTTCCTTCTTCTTTCTTGTTTTTTAGTTACAACATAGCTGTAGGGAGGAATTCTCTTGGACAGTTTTGAGTTTTGAAAATTGGCTCATTAAATAAGATAGGTATGCACAGTTGCTAAGAAGAAAGTTTATATGGACTAATTAATTATCGGAGCCTTGCACTCCTAATAACTCAATGATTTCCATGGCTCATACAAAAATGAAGATGTGCCCTCAAATGTCTAGGAAGATAAAATAATTCAGAAGGGTTTTCAGGATAGATCTTGTCATCTTAGGTTTGCTTACAGAACTCTCTTGGGATAATGGTAGATTACTATAGGGAATTGCAGCATTCATTGTGGTGCCAATAGACCACTGGAAAAGCTAGATATTTAAGCATTCTAATACATGTTTCCTAACCAAAATTTCACATAAAACACTATTCGCAGAATGAAAATTACAAAAATCAACTCCTAACTGAGATATTAACTTTATTGGTTTACATTGGATACGGGAATTTTGAATTTTCCCCCTCACAAGAAAAACTACAGGCTAAGTAAGTACTGGAATCAAAGCATACATTAAATGGTCTTGGGAGATTTTTTAATCAATCAGTGTTCCTCCCCTGGCTTGTGTTGTTTGGAGTGTTAAGAAAGTGCTAAAGCTGAGCCGAAGCACCCAGATTGAGATTGCCATATTTTCATACCACGGAGACTGTTGCAAAGACGTTTGGTCCTCAATTTGACTCCTGTTGACTTTTGTTTTTTCATGAGCGAAAGGTTTGAATAAACGCATCAGAAAACAGTAAATATCTTCATTAGTAGGGATGGTCGAATATTTCAATGATCGAATATTCAATAATCGAATGTTGGTAAAATTATTCGAATATTATTGGGTTAATAATAAAAAATTTGGCAAAACTGCCATTATCTATTACCTCCCCGGCAAAAAATCCAATCGGTAAGACAGCAGGTGCCGCCTTAGCTCACGCAAGTTTTGCCTTTTGTTTATTCTAGTCATGTCATCAAGTGTTAATAAGTAAACAGTAATTACTGTACTCTACATGGGAATAACTGACCTGTCTGAGTCAAAAGTGTCGTTTATCTTTATTAATAATAATACTATGTTGCATGTTACAAAAAAATAAAATTCAGAGCAATGATCAAAAAGATTTGAATATTCGCTTAGAAGTATTCGAAATTGAAAGATTCGATTTCTCAAATAAATGCACTAATTTCAATCGCAAAATTTCGAATAATCACGTTCGAATACGATAATTGTCCATCCCTATTCATGACCAGTTAATTTCAGTTATTTTCTTTGTATTAATTGTGTTTTACGTTGAGTATTGATAAGGAACAAACGGAATCAGAAAGCTTAAATTTGCACCTTGTCTGGTGGTCTATTAGATAATTCCCAAATTTAATAAATTTTTAAAAGAACTTATAAACAAATAAAACATGTAACTCATTTTATTTCATCAAAGAATTTGTATCACATTGATATTACATACATAAACATTAAAAATTGTTCTTAAGAATCCTTGTGTGATTTCCTAGCAAGGATAGTTATTATCAAAATCAGTATGAAAAAATAAGTTTTGAGGGAGATCTTTTGAAATGTTGTGATGAAATTAAAAAATTTCCTTCTTCAGTATCGCCGACTAATATTGGCAGGAGAGATAAATAAGAAGCTAAGTTCCGCAAATGTATATGCAAGAAACTGATCACTTCAGATCATTCTGACCATAGACCAACAAATTGTTGTTGCATGAACACACCAAAACTTTCATGCATATAATATTAGATAGGAAAGCAAACGGACAATACTCACATTAATTCTGAAATCGATGTACTGGTGTGTGCTAGGAACTTTTTTTGACAATTTCAATAAAGAGAGAACATGATGAACATGGTATGTACAAACATGATGAGCTGCTGAAATCTAAATCATCTCTCTGAACATCATAGGTGCCACCGCACTTACATTTAGTGGAATGAGAACTGTCTACGAAGTTTAAACTATGGTAACTGACGGAATCAAACTTGAGACTGTTATCATCAAGAGCATTTTCTAACAAAATAGAGTCATAAACTCTCCTCTTTCCAGGATCTCGTAATGTTTCCCATGCTTCCGTAATTCTTAAAAACTTTTCCTTCACAGCAGGGTCGTTTTCTTGATCAGGACTGAGTTTGTCTGGATGATACTGAAGGGCCAGATTTTGATATTGTTTCCTGATTTCTTCTAGACTTGAATTTTCGGAGACTCCAAGAATGGTGTAGTAACTTTCACCCATATTTATAGTTTAATTTTAACCACTGAAATAGACATAGAAGTCCAAAATATACTACAAAACTTCTGTCTTTAGAATAACACAATTGGAAAAGTTAGGAAAACGAATGGTAGAATTGTTCCAAAGAGAGGCCAACTTTTAATGTAAAATTATGATGATAAGTGCGATAAAGTTTAAAAAACACAAAATTTCTTTGCATTAAATAACGAAAGACCGAATAGTTTTGACTAGAGTACCTGTATAGGGAGAGTAGCGACAGATCGGTTCATGGAGGGCTTAGGGCCCAAAAGTGCAGCCACCTTTCTGAGCAACTTCTAACACACAAAATTTCACTGCCAGCCTACAGATTTCAATTCTAACCAAGATGGCTAAGAATGTATATAAATGAGCGTTCTTTCGCAAAAATAAGTAAATTTATGCAAAAAGTAAACCAAATACATGCTTTCTAAACGACGGTTCGTAACAATTGTATCTGTAAATCGCTCTGGACATTCGAAATTCATAGGTTGGCTGCCCTTTTGGGCCCTAACTTTATTCGCGGAGGCATCGGTGAAGGCCTGATGGACTTTCGGAGTTTCAGATCTGTCGCTACTCTCCCTATACAGGTACTCTAGTTTTGACATGCACAGTTATGAATTTTCACGGTAAACAAGAAAACATAACCTTAACTTGCCAATGCTCGCTGTTGTTGACATACACGTAGCGGCCTCTATGTGCGTGTTGGTGAAACTAGTCGGACATGCTGCGCACAATGGTCTTGTAGCGCTGAGTGATATTGGCCAAAAATCAAGTTATAATTGGACGGCGCGGCGGCGCCTACAAACCTAACAGGGATACTTCACGCATTGCGCAACGCGTGAAGTATCCCTGCTAGGTTTGTAGGCGCCAATGCGTGTTCCGCGCTGGCTGCCCGCCTGCCGCACCGCAGCGTGCCACGGCGCTTGAAGCAACTATTTCACACCAGAGGTATTGCACAGTATCATACGAAACTGAAGGCGCTCTAATATATTAGGAATGGCAGGCATCCATCAAACGTACGGAGCTTTCCTCGCAAAAAAAATCAAGATACTACGGCCCAAAAAGCAGAGCAGTATTCCAAAAACTCACTAAGTCCTAGCATCCGTAATTAGTAACGTTTAGCATACACTTTATCGCCTGGCCGTGAGTTGCTTAGTCGCCATCGGCTATAAAAGGCTATAAGAAATTGTGTAGCCGGCTATAAGCTATTGGAAATCTTACAGCCGGCTGTAGGTCTATGGTATTTTGGAACACAGATTCTACTGCCAATTTTTACCAGGGCAGTAGAACTTTTTTCGTACGGAAAAGCGTACCTCGTTCTGGCGCCTTCATTTTATCCGGCGCGCTATACCCAAAAGTATTTTCTTTTCCCTTCATGGCATTGGACCATGCCCATCTGATATGAGCCGCACCCTAGCGGCTACTTCTAGTGTGGCGGAGATAGACGAGACCCTAGGCCCTAGGCCTATGGGGG